AGACCCTAGATGAGAGGGATTGATATAATAAACTACTGATAATAACCAAATTGGCATATTGAGGCAGGGGGGAATTGTTCAATCCATGACACCCAGAAATACTCTCTCCCTCTCAATTTCTGCTCCCTTATGTCCCACTGAATCTATTTCCCTCAACCCCCCAGTCCTACCCCCCACTTTCCTTACATCCCTCTCAATCCCCAACATTCCCATTCCTTCCACTGGTTCTCACTATTTCGGTGAACACAGGTCACCACATGATTTCCAAGTAGGTACAATGGGAAGAAGTACATTTCCTCCCTCATCCAATTTAAAAAAAAAAAATTAAATTAAATAATTAATTAATTAATTAGCTAATTAATTAATTAAATAAAATTCAGATTTTTGCTCCACTCCAGGCCCCTTTTCTTTGGAGTCATTTATTTGTATCAGCTTCCCTCATCTTCACCTCATTTGGCTTTTAGAAACATCCTAGATTTTCAAAGTTTACACCTTCTTTCTGTAAGCCTCCCAAGAACCAGAGTACACTACATTCTAATTTCCAGTTCCAGGGGCAACAATGGTCATTGTTTATTCTGGTCCAGTCAAATGTAGGCAAGGTGATAAGTTCAGGTAGAACTTACACAGTTTTCAGAGTTAATAAAATTCCACAAAGTAGATGGTAGAAAACCAGAAATGTGTCATCTCACTATTCTGGAAGTGCTTGCTATTGGTTTGTAATCAGAAAGAATGGCTGTGTTAATTCTTTCTTGGGGTACTCTAAGAATTTCTCCTGTGCCTCTCTCCCAATTTCTGGAAACTATGTCACAGGTGTTTCAGATACCAGCCTGCTCAGCCATGGTAAGAAGTTTTCAGTGGAACTTCCAGATTAAGACATACCCAGAAGCAGGGCTGGCCATCCACTTTTTAAATACCAGGCCTTCAAAAACTCTCTGAATAACCACAGAACATTGTTGGATATGGTGCTGGTAGATGAGCCCCTCCGGTAGGAAGGCATTTTAAAAAATTAGACTTGAGTGTAGCAAAGATCTCTCCTCGTTACTGGTGACAGCTGGCAATCCTCAAAGTTCATTGATTTATAAATCACTCTAATCTGTCCCTCCAACACTACATGGTTGTTTTTCCTCTGTGTCTGTATCTCTTCTAATCTCACACATGTTAGATTAGGACACACACAGACACACACCTTTTCAGTATGATCTCAACTTCATTTACTCAATTACAGCAAACACCCCATTTTCAGGGTCTTCAGAGGCTTTTCATGAAAATTGCATGGGAGAAGACTGACGTCATCAAGGGAGTCCTCCCACAAAGCTCCTGGGAGGTTGGAATGACCAGAGAGGTGCCACCTTTGGGTTAGTAACACAGCAAACTATCAACTCTGCTACCAGAGCAGCTCTGATCTAGGTTATTGTTGTTGTTACGTGTTGTCGAGCCAAAACATATTCATCTTCTGACCCTCCCGCAGGTTTTCAGAGGCAATAAATTGCACAAGATTGCCCATCTGTCTCTCACAGAACAGTTGGTGAATTTTGTGCCTTTCGGTTGGCTTCAAAGCTCAGAGCTTCAATGTATCTGGGACAGGGCAGGTAGCACAATCCCCAAGACTTTCCAACCCATTCTATGTGCATATTGTCATTTTTAGAGAAATAGGTGTAATATTTGCAACTACTTGATAAGTAAATTAGACCCCAAATAGGCCTATTATGAAGATAGTAATGGATATCAACTTCTCAATCTTCAAGCCAAAGATTTTATAGCTTTGGTGCACCCAAGTTCAAAGTAGTAAGGAATGTTTGAGAACTGAAGAGGAAGGTATAATAATTTCATGGTTAAATAAATACATTAGCTTTGGTGTTGAGCTAGGCTTTAAATCATAATTAACCCACAAACTAGCTATTTTCATTTGGGTCAAGTTACTCAATCCCTTTATGCCTCAGTTTCCCCACCATATGGCAAAAATAATAGCACAATGAGGGCTTATAAATAGTAATGAGATAAAAAAGCAGCTTACCTACCTCCATTAAAACCCACTGCTGTTGAATTGATTCCAATTCACTAATAACTTTCTACCAGGTTTCTAACTTCCGTAATAGCTTGCCTCCGGAAACCCTATGAACCTGGAGAGAGGATGAAAGACACCCAAATGTTGAGGACTCTCCTTCACAGGGTCTCTATGAGTCATCTGCGACTCGACGGCACTTAACAACAATAACATCAACATAGAGAGAGAGATCAGCTGGCCCAGTGGACAGAAAGTGATGCTACCAAGCCAAAGGTGGATGACTTTTCATTTGCAGCCCTCGAGCCTGTCTTTCATTGTTTTTGTTCAGACATTGCTCTCGGTCATATAGCCCTGGTGTACAAGTTGCCGTACCGCAGACACTTGTGCTTGCTGTGAGGCTGAACACTGTGATACTGATGTGTCAAATGCGTTAATGGTTGGCTACCCAATGCAGACAGTGGGGTGGAGCTCCCCCATTAAAACAAGCTTGGAAGGAGGAGTGGCATCCACTTTCATAATAGCTTGCCTCTGGAAACCCTATGAATCTGGAGAGAGGATGAAAGACACCCAAGAGTCGAGGACTCTCCTTCTTAGGGTCGCTATGAGTCACCTGTGACTCGACAGCACGTAACAACAACACCAGGTTTCTAAGGCAATGAAGCTTTAGAAGAGAAAACTGCCTTGCAATTGAGTAGCTGGTGGATTCAAACCACCAACCTTTCCATTAAAAGCCCAGCAAGTAACACACTATACCACCAAGACTTCCTATAGCAAGAGTGCAATAAATGGTAGCTGGTGTCCTAGTGGTAAGAAGTTGTGCTGTCAAACCAAGGCCTGCAGTTCAAATCCACTAGCTGCACCCTGGGAGAAATATGGACAATCTCCTCCTGTGTGATGCAAAGCCTTTGAAAACCCAGTGGAGGATCAGCTAGCTGTGAGTCAGCTGTGTGTCGGTTCCAACTTGTCAGCACACAACATCATTATTAATATTAATACATTATGAAAATGATGACAATGAAATAAACCTGTAATAAAAAGCAATGGGTTTGGCATGATATATGTGAGTTTTAACTGTAATTGTCTATTATTATTTAAAATATGTAGGATGTTGCTGTTATTATAGGTCAAGTCAACTACGACTCATGGTGATCATATGAACAATAGATATGAACCCTGACCTATCCTGTGTCAATCTCATCATCTCTGACATTCTTGAGCCCGTTGCTGCAGTCTCTGTGCAAATCTATCTCATTGAGGGTCTTCTTGTCTTTCACTGACCGTCCACTTTTCCAAGCATGTTGTCTCTCTCCAAGGAATACCCTTTCCTAGCAACATGTCCAAAGTATGGGAGAGGTGTCTTTGCCATCTTTGCCTCCAAGGAGCACTCTGGCTGCACTCTCCAAGACATAATCTGCTAGTTCTTCTGGCAGTCTATAAGATATTAAGCACCCTTCTCCAACACCACAGCTTAAAGGCATCAATTATTTTTCTGTAATCTTTATTCATTGTCCAGCTTTCACATGCACAGCAAGTGACAGGAAAGACCATGGCTTGAATCAGGCACACCTTAGTCTTCAAACTGACATCATGACTCCTGAGTAACTTGGAGAGGTCTCTGCGAACAGACTTATCCAGTGCCATACATCTGATCTCCTGACTCCTGGTACCAAAGATGTGGATTGTAGATCTAAGTAAGATAAAATTGTTGGCAATTTCCATGTAGGATATGTAGAATAGTGTTGTATATGTTATGTTGTTGTTGTTAGCTGCTGTCAAGGTAGCCCCTAACTCACAGTGGCCTCAGTCCTGCTCCATTCTCATGTTCAGACCACTGTAATCCATAGAGTTCCTTACGGACTGATCTTCAGAAGTAAATCACCAGGCCTTCCTTTCTAGCCTGTCTTAGTCTGAAAGTTCTGCTGATATATGTTCAACATAGCAACATGCAAGCCTCCATTAACAGGGAGGCAGTGGCTGGAGGTGGATTGGCCAAGAATTGAATATCCCTCATACGAGGCAAGATTTCTACCACTGAATCACCACTGCCCCGAAGGATAACAAATAAATTAAGACATACTTGTTGCTGTTCTGTGCTGTCCAGTCAGAACCAACTCATAGCTAAATGTCCAGTGAGTTCTCTGAGAATGTAAATCACACAGGGGTAGACTGTCCATCTTTCTCCCACAGAGCTGGTGGATTCAAACCGCTTGCTTGCCTTTAGGTTGCTAGCCCAATTCCTCACTCACTAGACCACCAGAGCTGCTTTTAGGATATTTAGGGTATTCCTATCTGATTTCCTGTGGTTGGACACCTCGGGTGCACAGGAACTGCCTGTACCAGGTCTCTGTATGCCTCTGAGGATTAGACCTGGGGATGCTAACCGTGTGGCCCACCAGAAATGTCAGCCTTGTCATGTACCGACATGGACTAAATATGCGCCGGAGAAGCAGTGTTTTTGTTTAAAATAGAAACTTTGAAGGAAGCCAAGTTAACACATGACAAAGTACTGAATATCAAGTTCTCCTGGAAGAAAAGAGGAAAAGGGGAGGGGGTAGCCTGTTCATTTCTAACATAAGCAGGAGACTTGCTGGTGGCCAAAATTCATGTTTCCTCTCTGACGAAATTTTCCAGCCAGGCTTGGTGCTACCCGCACAGGCGATTTCACGTTATCATCACTTGACAAAAGACTTCCAAATTCACTGCAGCAGACACGGCAGAATAAAAATGTTAAATACCTCCTAGCAGGGGAGGGGACTAAGCCTCCACGCTCAATCAAAGGTTTGCAATAATAGGACTCACAAAAAAAAAAAAAGGACAGATGGGATTAGAAAATGTTGCGGTGAAGACTCTGGAATGAGAGGAGATGAGAGCTGAGCCTGTCTTTTGTGGCCTGCACAATGATGCCTGAACCAGATTGGATTAGGAAACCTCTCGATTAGGGCTACGGAGCTGGGGGGCCCTGCCACAGCACTTTTGGGGAGAGAAAGCAGGCACGATGCATCAGATTTACAGCTGCAGTGATGAGAACATTGAAGTTTTCACCACCGTGATTCCTTCTAAGGGTGAGTCCAAGTTGACTTTGGCTATGCGCCTAATGTGACTGCTGACGCAGGGGCACAGGGCAAGGGACAATCCATGCTGTTTAACCCTGTGCTGTTCTCCAGGGTACGATGGCTGACAGGGTCTTGGGTCTCATGGTATTTGGTTTTTATTTTGTTTTCCTGGAAAGAAAGCGTTGAATAAGCATCAGTCATTAGAAACAAGCCATCTGAGGAAAACAAATACAATTAAATGACCCCCTCACCACTTCATGGTAGTGAGAGGATATTGTGACAGTGACAGAGAGCCACTGTTTTAGGAAATAGAGATGAAAAAATTTACAGGGAAGCCGGGCTTACTCTTCCTTTTCTCCAGTGGGAAGTGAGTTTGAAAAGAGGACCTACTGGCTTCAAGTATGATTGAAAACTGGGCCATGTAATATGCAGAAAAAACCTCCAGGGGTGGGCTCAAGCCAAAGTACAGATCAAGTTTTTCCCAGACCCCTGTCCTTCCCACAGAGCCCAGAGACACTCCCCACCACCACTCCCAAACTTGACCTGGAACTATAGCCACAGGAAAGGTGTGATGGGAGAAACAGCATTCTGTTCTGGGAGGGGCTTTATGTGAGGGTGCAGTGGACTCCAATACCTGGTTCTGGAAAGTTCTTTTGCCCTGCCAAAGGTGGTCCTGTCTCCTGACACCTCGATCCTTACCCTGCAGCTCAGAGAGCCTGTGACTGGGCTTAGCCTCTGGTCTCATTGTTAGGCATGAATGAAGTGAGCTAGGTGTTTGCTAGTGTTGTGACTCCCCGTTCAATGAATGCCTTTTTTCCTCCCTCCTGTATCAGCCTCCGACAGGGTCATTTCTGAGTGAAGGGGGCCTCCCAGCCTGGCCACATAGAGATGTCGAGCAGAACACAAATTAGACTTTAGATATCCATTTCCAGAGAGAAAAGGAGGAAAACACGTTTCAGCTTGGTTGTGCAGAAGTTGTAATTCTTTCTGGAGATTTAAATATACTTGGAAAGTCCAAGTTTTTCTATGACCCAGCAGCACTGCATTTAGTTCAGGGAAACTCAAACTCAGAAGCTTCAGTGTTCCTAGGGATATCGAATCTATAGGGGGAAAATTGAAAGGGGGGTGGTAGGTGGTAGAAATGTGAATTTGGACACTAAACTATACATTATTTTATGGATCCATATATGTAGAAAAGTGAAAACATAGATTAGAAAGAGGCAGATGGAATCTGACATCTCAAGAGCCACCAATAGGAAAGAAGTATAATTAGGGGAGAATAGAAAAGAAATCCCACCTTTACCTCTAATATTTTTATTTCTTTTATGTAGAGGAATATGCTTAAAGCTGATCTAAAAATGTTTCAAAAATGTGTCCATTTTCTTTCCTTTTATTCACTTAAAATTTTTTAAAAGGGAAAAGGAAACGTTGTAAGGCCTCTTAAATAAAACATTTTTAATAGGGTTCAGGAACAATGCCACACTTCCTTACAGAGGTGTTCAAAAAAGGACCTTTGGATCTACTTGTGTAATACAGCTTTTAAGAAATGGCTCTGTGACCCTCAGCAAGCCATTTAACCTCTTAGGCCCATTTCTGTTTCTATAAAAGGAAAAAAGAGAACCTCCTTCCCAGGATTATTATGAGAAATAAGTGAATTAGTGTTTAAAGCATCTAGAATAGTAACTAGCAAATAATAAGCACCATTAAATAAATATATAAGTTACAAAGTGATTTCCATTTGATCCTTATTTAACTCAATTAATATATGTTCATTTAATGATGAACACTTAATTCCATATTCCTTTCTTCCTATTTTCATTCATAGTCACCTGTTAGTCTTAAACCGAGTGCTCATGGGTATTTATGGACATTTCCCTAGGCAAGAAGATGTTCTCTGGAGAAAAAGAGTATTTATAGGTTTACATTAGATCATAAATGGATCAAGTCCACCTCCTCCCACGCCTTGCTCTGCCTCATTTTGTCTTCTCCTGAACTCTCCAACAAGAACATTCTTGTAGCCCCATTTCCAGAGTACTCACACACACACACACACACACACACACACACACACACACACACACAGGGTTCAACCACTATCTCTATTTTTTAACTGATATAGACAACCCAGAGAAACATGGTAACAGCAAATGTCATGGTGTTTCTAATTATTTTTAAATCACAAAATAAAGACCAAACCTTACCTGCAGACAATTGTATATTTTCACCATCCACAGAAAAGGACCCCTTTAAGGGAAAGAGTATATGGACTGCAGTTCACGATAAATACAGAAGAGGGGGAAAAAACTAACCTGTGGTTTTACTAAGAAATTTTATCAGATGTTATTTCCTGAGGCACACCAGAGTGGGCTTAATTTTGGAGTGAAGAGTGCCACAGCATTCAAAATAGGTCCCCTGGGGATAAACTGTGATATATAATAAAACAATGAGGTGGTGTGGTGAGGTGAGTAGGGCAGTGTGAGGAGGAACTGGGGAAAGAAAGCTCAAGAAGGAGAAATCTTATCTAAGTTCTGCAGGGACGGGGGGCCCTCACCTATTCCTTGTCTACCTTTATCCTGTATAAAAGGAAGCAGAAGACAGTCCCCAGTCCCACTCCCACTGGCAGCACTCTGTAGCACACACTGACTGGGTCTGGGGTGTTATAAAGGTTATTTCATTTCACCTTGTCACACCTCCCTGAGGCAGGAGCCACAATTATCCTTGTCTCACAGATGAGGAGAGTGAGCTCGAGAGATGTTGAAGAGGTTGCCCAGGTCACACAGCTGGTCTACTAGGATTTACACCCAAGTGAACAAAATAGAAGTCCTGTCCACTAAGCAGCAGGCTGTACTCTGCGGCTTCCCAGTCAGGTGCTTCACAGGCAGATGACAACAATGACAGTAACACTCTCTCCATTGCTTGTCTGACATGTGATATAAGAAGTCACTTCACCAGAAGGATAATGCCTTCCCAATTTCTATCTACTAAAAGGAATAAGTCAAGTGAAGGACGTCCTAAAAAAAGAGTCACTTCAGCTCTAAGTAGGGCAGTGGTGTGGTGAGATGTCAGTTCTAGAGGGCTTTGGTGGCATCATCTGTAGAGAGTTGCCTTGCTAACCTCACCTCTTTGAGGTTGGTGGTTCAAATCCACCAATGACTTCTCAGGAATAAGATGAGCAATCTTCTCCCATGTAATTTACATCCTCAGAATCCTACTAGAAGGTCAGTTATTTAAGAGTTGTTTGCAACTCTACAACACAGAGAGACAGAGTGGGTAAGATTCTCACCCCTGTGTGGAAAATAAATGATTGGATGGCTCCATTTTTACAAAGCACATACCTTTATCACACAAGTACTAACATCTCACAGAGTAGCTGAACCCAGCCTCTTCTTCCTCCAGTCTACTGCAAGCCCAGAACTACCTCAGCACAATTATTGTAGCTGCATTAATCACTCTCACAACATTCTCAAACACTGTCTCTTTACTTCTCGTTTCAGCAGCCAGTCCAGCCAGAAGAAGAGTCAAAAGCTCTCAGATCCTGAATAAGAATGTAAGGAAACCTCATTTCAATCCCCTTTGATTGACTTTCATTAGAAAAGCAAGTACCTTCTCTCCCTACCATACTGTCGGTGAGGAGGAAGGATTTCTGGTTCCTGTATCATTATGGCTACACTTTATCTCTTTCACTTAATCAAATGTCAACCAAATAGCAATCTGTCCAGAATTGGACCCCCTTCTGCCATTTTCCCCAAGCAAAGGAAGTAAACCTCATTTCATATTCACTTTTCTTTTTCATTTAAATGTTCCATAGTGTGGATATAGCATCCCTAGCCGGAGGGTTCTCTGATTATTGGTACTTTTAATGCTCCAATTTTTTCACTCTTAGAAGTAGCACTTGAATTAATTTATTTGCTCAATATACTATCATTTTCTTTTGAGTTGATTCCTTAGTATATAGACCTCAAATAAGTGAAAGAAAATCATTCCGCTCACGAACTCAGTCCTCAGTTATTTGAAGTGCTGGAGAAGAATACTGAATATCCTAAGGGCTGCTGAAAGAACAAGCAAATATTTCTCTGAGAAAGTGTAACTAGGGTTCTCCTTAGAGCCAAGGATACCAAAGCTTCCTCTCATATATTTCAGCTGTGCTATTAGTTAAAAAGACATCATACTTACAAGATAGAGGGTCAGTGAAAAGAAAGGAAGACTCTCAACAAGGTAGATTGACACAGTAACTCTGTTATAAAGCAGAGTTCCATTCTCTTGTTCATGGTGTAGCTATGAGTCATACTGGACTCCATGGACTCTCTAACATGTGTGTGGCATTATGCTAGATATGGAGACTAGAATAGTGATATTTTTTAAAAATTGTTTCTGCTTGCATCTTTGTCCCAGATTGCCAAACTGCTTTCCAGAAGTTCTTGTGAATTTCAGTGTCGTCATCCTGACCAACATCACTCGCTCAAAACTGGCTCATAACCATCCTTTGTCCATTGGGTTTTCAAAGCTGCAAATTTTATGGGAGGAAATTACCCATATTTCTCCCAAAGAGCTGTTGGTGGATTCAAACTGCCAAGAGGCAAAGCCACTTGAACTCCTCTCACCTACATCCACTTAAGAAGCATATGTACTGCCTGAAAAGTAATTTACATGTCTTTAGAGCCTAATGATGCTATGACCTTCTCATATCATATATAAATGTATTTATATAAACATTGTCAATTCACCTCTGTACCTTATTTTAAAAGGCGAGTTGCTCACTTGTTTCATTTTGATTATACTGGAGTTCCTACTTCTCACCATCATAACCTTTCAGAGGCTACCATTTTTATTTTTCAAGTATCTAGACATGTAATAACCTTCTTGTTGTTAATCACCATCAAGTCAAATATGACTCAGAGTGACCATATAAATGACAGATCTGAACCCTGTTCTATCCTGCACCATTTTCATAATTTCTGACATACCTGGATCCATTGCTAAAGTCACTAGTCTCCCTTTCATGAAAAATAATTTTAAAACCAATGTCCCAAGAATGAGAAAGTTTTGACTGTTGTTTTTACATAGTTCTTGCTTTTTTAATTGCAAAAGCATCACATGCCCATTATATATATATATATATATATGGATATGTAATTATAAATATTATTTGTATATATGCATATATCAGAAAATTCTGAGAAGCTGTAGAATTTACTGGTTAGAGTTGGATTGTTTTTGTTGGGTACCACAGTGTTGATTTTCAGTTAACAGCAATTCTACATGACAGAATAGAATTGCTCCATAGGGAGTTCTAGTCTATAATCTTTACAGCAGATAGCTAGGTCTTTCTTCTGCAGGGTCAGATTGTCGAGGTTTAAATTCCAGGTCTATTAATTTCTAGCTTCATGCCCTGGAACAAGTTGCCTAACTACTTATGGACTCAACTTCTATTAAAATGTTATTGTTGTTGTTATGTGCCGTCGAGTCATTTGCGACTCATAGCAACCCTTTGTATAACAGCCCTAAACCGTGCTCT